CCCCTTCCCGACAGACACCTCTTCTCCGATTTTTTCTGAGGGGAGTGGGCGGCCGTACACAGGCTATCTGGAACGGATAATCCATCTTCAAACTGTCCGTCGAAATTGACGGATAAAGTCAGGTGGCTTGTTCATTCAAAACTCAAACTATTCCATTTTCAAATTAAGACGTATTCCTATCTGACGCGAATCATCAAACGGATAACCCGTCTCACACGAATAATCCGTCTCTAGTCTCTAGTGTGAAAACGGCCATTTCTGTTGTAATGAATGTCGCGCCCCGGCCTTCAGTTGGGCGTTTGCGTGTGTGCTTTGCTTTTTCACAAAGATTATTTTTAAACTGACTATTGACATTTCTATGTGTAAAATAAAATATTACAAGTGGAATACTTTATAAAAATTATAATCTATCAAATGTTAAAATTTTTCAAAAGAATAGCTTATTTCATCCCGAGATGATCATAAGACCTTCATTTTGCTTTAAAGATACAAAAAATACAGGTTAATTAATATTTAACTTTTTGAAACAAAAGAAGTTAATCTTTAACCTTTTTGTTGACCGTAACTGAAAAAAATTAACCGATAGCCGTAAAAGAGCCAAAATTTTAGCCGATAACCGTAAAAGCCACCACCCCATTGGGACCCTCATTCAACAAAAACGTTTGAAAATTTTCCAGCAATTCCGGGAGCAAAGTTGAATGGAAAGAAAACTCCCTGGAAAATATCTAGAAAATTTTGGGTATACCTCGCTCGCTTGTCCTCTTTTTTGGAAATTTTCGAAGTTGCCAAGAATTCAGACGGGAAGTTTAGGTCAAATGGAAAGCGTCCGTTATGCTTACCCGTCTCTCCCCTGCTTCCCCGCGATTTTGGGGCAAATTAACTTTTCTTACTATCGTGGAGCCTGGACAAGGCTGTTGTATTGAGGTTGCACTGTATTTTAGGTGGTAACTTGTATATTTTTAATTTTTCGGTGTCTGAACCTATAAGAAAGTAAACCATTGCTTTCAACGTTACTCCCTCCCGGGTGAAATTTTTGAATGACTAGTGCCTGTAGTTTCTGTATTTGAAATCGTCCAGGGGAGGAAAGGGAAAGTAACATTAAGTTTAGCATCATGACATGGTAACATAATTATGTAAAGACTTTCACGCACTCTAGATTCTTACATGCCCATGCAACGTTGAAAAGTGCAACAACCACCTACAAAAAAGCTGAGATACTACAATTTATTTGGCTGAAAACGGTGTTAATTTCTCGGACTGCGCGAGATTTATTATAAGAGGAGTTGTTTGGCAAAATCAAGTCTCAACCTTTTTGCAACTGGTCTAAGCTTTACAGAAACTAACTGAACGATCGCAAAACTGATTAGATGAAATTGGAGCCTTTGAAGTTATAACTGATTTTTATGTTTTAACTTTACTCAATTCAGTTTTTACGACTACAATAATAATAGGCAAAGATATAGATGTACACGTGGTGATCATTATGGAACTACACATTTTTAAAAACATTTAGAAGGTTTAAGTTCCCCTACAACACATTTTTGCCACTTCAGATTTAATATCAAAATCAGAAGAATGACTTTGTTACCAAATTCCTTCGTAAGTGTTTTTCAAAACACTTCTACACATTGCGGAATTGCTAAAAAGTCATTGTGTTTCATTTGTAAGCCATTTTCACTTTGCCCAACGCTTTTATCTTTAAAACACCAGTTATCGCGTTGAACAGTAACACACGGCGTAGACCAGTAAATAATTTACCTCCTCAATGCCAAATTAGTTTCAGGAAGACAAAACGTTGTCTATTAGCCTAATTTCAGCTTTTAAGGTATTATCTTCATCTAAATACGTTAATCAACTTAAATTGAGCTTATTTTGCTAAGTTTTCCCATAAGCGACCACCTCTTGACCACTTTTCTGTGTACCAAGGGTGGTCGCTTACGAGCAGACACCTCAGTCTACTGAGCGGACCTAACAATAGGGTCCCGTGTGTAAAGTAGTACTACATGTGTAAAATTCTATAAAATGGTTAAAACATATTCGAAAAAATATAAGTAAAAAAAAAAGTCGAAAACCTAATGCTTAATAATGCGAAGTTATGACTATACGTTTCGTTACACTAACATTTCTTTTAGACAAGATATAACAGTTACTGCATGCAATTACGTGGTTAGTAATGGTTGATGAGAATCGCTCTGCAGTTTTTGTATTTGGCTGCATTTTGTTTTTCAAAATGTCAAAACCATTTTATGGAGTTTCTTCACAGCCTAGAAGTAGTGTTCCTTGAAAGGAAATGTTTAGGGAATGTTATGGATCTCAATCTGTATCATAACGGTATCATCTTTAGAATACTGTGGGGCACAAACCATGGTGATAGGCGCAAACTCTGCGTAACCATACAGGGTTTTGTATCGCTCGGCAGCCGTGGGTTTCTGAAAAGCTGCCTGATTTCTGTTGGCCATGAACGTGCCACTGATATCTTGGTGGAAGCCATGAACATCAGTGCTTTGATCCTTGATGGTGAGAGAGATTCGTCCACGGAAGGGCCAGTCCAGAACAGTATCGTACTCTCCCTGCATTATGCCAACAAAAAGGCCAATGTGTCTTCCATGTCCGCCATCAATGCCGTTTGGAAAGATACGCATGAAGAACTTGTATCCACGCCAGCTAGTGTGAATCGAAGGACTCTCAAGTGATGTTACTATTCCATCGCTAGCATACTGGGAAAGCAGAGATCGGAAACCTTCTATCTTCCAAATATAGTTTCCATTACAGATCTGACCTGGAGTTATCGGACGCTCTGGTGGACTTG